AAAAATTATATATTTCTTTGAATTCTCTTGCATCAATTCATACAAGATAATTAGGCCTTACGACCGACATACTATGTGAACACTTTATTATACACGTGTTAGAAATATATAATCTCTTGTCATTTTCATTAGAATAATCAAGTATATCATTAGAACTTAGAAGTATGCTTAGTGCACTAGATCATTTGAACCACCTTAATATATCACACTTCGATCTTACATATTATAATTCTTATGTTCATAATTATATGACTTATAAGTCACAATCGGTACTAACAAACACAAAGTAAATAAGAGCCACCAATGATCTTCCTCTTCTCATGAGTCTCCCAACTTGTAGCCAACTCGTTTAGTCAAATCGAATCTCTCATGGTTATTTAGTAGCATGCTAAAATAACGAACATCAAATCAAGCTTTGACTCATTGATTAGAGTTGTGAGGGTTCTAAAATATGTTTCACACAGGGGTGGGGCGCCCTGCCACTCAGTGCGCCCCAAATCACCCTCTGTAGTTCAGGGGCTGGCGCATCGCGCCAGGTCCCCTATCCTTCCGTCCTTCTTTCTGTATGCGTTCCCTCAAATCATACCTATGTTCTCTTCTTGATATCCACACTTAAAAATCTTCATTAATCCCTGAGAGATCATGCATATTCAAGTCATAACTCTTAAATTCATAATTCAATTTCAAGATAGAGTTAAGAGTAAAGTTCGAGGAAGTTCTTTCGAGTCATTTTGAGAAGTCTTTTATAAATTTTTAAAACTTGTTTTAAGACTTGAGTACTTGAGTATGAGGATGAGAAGAGTTGAGTTTCATTTTTCAAAATGAATATATGGGAACTAAGTAATCCCAAGAGTAAATATTTTTACATTTAAAATGAGAGAAAACTCCAATTTCAAATGAGTTCATGAGGAGTTTTGAGCACTATCTCTTTTAAGAGAACCTTTTGAGTAATAATCTCAAAGTTTGAGGATGAGGAAATGTTTTTAAACATATGAGCATGAGTTATATTATTGGGAGTAGTATTGAGAATCGATATGTGGATGAGTTCAAGCAACTCAAAGTCCTCATAAACCATGTATGCCAACGTGGGTAGAAAGGGTCATACTTTTTAGATGGTTTCTTATTGCTTTTACGCATAGCTTAGTGGATCCACTTAGTTGAGGATGTCTTATACTCCGGCAAGGTATATGACAGTTCTGACAGTGTGGGCGAGACGTATCATCACATAGCTCATACTGATGGTTGTCGGTTAGAAAATCTCCCAAATAAGAGTAGAGGAATTTTATTGTATTTTTAAATACATTGAGTTACTATTTACTATTTTAAAATCTTTCTTTATAATGCATCTTATTGTTGCTTTTATGTTGAACCGAGTTGTGTATTTCTGAGTTCTTGAGTATCCTTGAGTCGAGTTGAGTTGAGGTGAGTATGGGTTCCTTTTATCAGTTCAAGCTTGCAGGTTATGTTCAGTGTTCCCCATACATGCTCGTACATTTCATGTATTGACACCATTTGACCTGCATCGTTTCATGATGCATATACATGAAAAGAGTCATCAACAAACGTTTCGTTGACACCACTTGCAATTCGAGTTAGCTTTGGTGAGCCTCCTTGCTTCCGAAGTATTCCATTTACTTTTCAGTTTTGTTAGGATGTCGTGAGTCTTGTCTCGACTTCCATCTTTGTCATTTAGAGGCTTCATAGATAGACAGTAGTAGTTGATGAGTCTTTTCATTTCTCTTGTTAAATGTTTTAAAGACTTGAGTTGCCTATTTCTGGCTAGTTGAATATTCTATTATATTCCGAGTTGTTTATTTGAGACTTTTGAGTTAAAACTTTACATTTAAGTTCATCTTATGTTGTGTAAGTCTTCCGCTAGAGCCAGGTTAAGGGTTCGCTTGGGGCCAACAATAGTTCTCGAGTGCCGGCCACGCCCAGGGTGTAGGCTCGGAGCGTGGCAAATATGCGTTGTACTCTTTTCCTTAACCATGGTTTTATCCCAATTGAGTTTTCTTGGTAAGGTTTTTAACGAGACAACATTCAAAGCTTATTAAAAGATATGCGTACTCTTTTTTCTTCAATAGGATTTTTTCCCACAGGGTTTTTTCCTAATAAGGTTTTAACGAGGCATATTATCTATGGACATCCAAGGGGGAGTGTTATAAAATAATATATTGTGGATGTCCACTACACGAAGAAGTTACTACAGTACCCCCCTCCATTATGAAGATAACCTCCACCTTTATGATCATTATTCTTGTAACCTTTCACCTCCATAACCTCCTCCATTATATTCATGTTTAATGTCATGTTTATGACTAACCTTTTGTATGCCTCTATGTTACACTATAAATAGAAGTATAAAGGTTTATATTGTATACACTTGAAGATTTGGTGAACACTTGAATACTTTGAAGAATAAGAAAAATTGGCATCTCTTGTCTCTCTATTTCTATTGCTTTCATCTTTTATATTTCTTGTCTTATTTTGCTTTACTTTTACAACAATATTCATTATATCAATAATTGTTTTTGGGAAAAGGGCATGATATACCCCTCAATTTTGCCATTTAGAGCTGATATACTCTCGTTATGAAAGTGTCTCATAAATAGCCTTACCATTATACAAATGGCTCACATATACCCTTACCGTTACAAAAGGAGCTCACATGTACCCTTGATCTAATGGAAGTGAAAAAATTAGTTTTAGATTTACTTTTTTAAATTTAATTTTAAAAAAAATCATGTAGGGATATATATACAGAAAAGGGCCAAAAATACTCCTAAACTATAGGAAAAGGTTTAAAAATACCCTTCATCCATCTTTTGGTCTAAAAATACCCTTCCATTCACCTTTTTGGCTCTCTTATACCCTCGAAACTAACAATTCTCTCTTTATTTTTTATTTTTTTAAAAATATTTATTATGTGTCATTCTCCTATTGGATAATATAAAGAGTCCACCTCAATTAGATTATTTCTCATTATTTATCCAAACCAAAGCAATATACCTCTTCAAGACCCCAATTTTTTTTATATAAAAAAAATATTGTAGTTTTTTATTATTTATTTATTTTTGAATCCAACTCCTCTCCATTTCCTCAATTTTTTACTTAGATTGAAGACTCATGACATAAGAAAAAATTAACGGCTAATATTTAATTAATTAAATCAAGATTTTAAACATGGTATAGATGATTAATATTTTATAAATAAATTTATTATGTCATAATCATAACAATATATTATCTTATCCATAAATACATTACACACATTTTTCTCTATTTTCCTACTTAAATTTTCCCTATGGCTACGACCGTCCATCTGCTTTTTTTTTTTTTTTTTTAATGAGTTAATTTTTAAGTAAAATTGTTTGTGGAACTTTTTCTTCGAAAAGTATTTATCACAGATTAGCAAAAAAATTAAGTTCACAATTTAAAAAAAAAAAAAGGAATATAGATAGTGTGGCACTATTAATATTCTTATAATATATTAATTATTTTAAAAAATCTTTTTAATTTTTTTTTTAGAGCAAATACAAAATTACTAGATTTTAAAAATAAATAAATTAGGGGCTTGAAGAGATATATATATTTTTTATTTAAATAGATTATGGGAAAAAAATACTAATCGAGATGAGTTTTTTATTTTATCTAATAAGAAAATGATAAATAATATTTTTTTCAAAAAAATAAAACAAAATAAATTTTGGTTGTTAGTCATAAAGGTATAAGTTAGTCCAAATGTTGAATGAAAGGGTGTAAGTGAGCCAAAAAGGTGAGTGGAGGGGTACAGATGAGCCAAAAAGGTGAATGAAAGAGTATTTTTAGACTTTTTCATATAGTTCAAGGGTAGTTTTTGCCCTTTTTCGATATATATATGATCCTTCTAGCAAAAGGTATACTTTAATCTTTTCATACATAAATTATTTTTTGACTTCTTTGATTATCATTATTTGAGTTTCTTATTCTTTTTTTCTTTCATTCTTCAGTGTAAAGAAATAAATTTAAAACTATTTTTTTCGGATATATTGTAATTTAGTTTTTGTATTTGTAAAAAAAAATTAATTAAAAAATGGGGCATTTATAATAAAGTTTACAAGAAAATTAGTGAAACATAAATAAATTTGACCATCAAAATAATAAATTTAAGTTAGTCGTTAAAATAAAAAAGTCAAAAAAAAAATACGTGTGTGACGGATCAAATATACCTGATTATAAAATTTTCAAAAAAATAATTTAAAAATTAAATTAAAATTAATTTTTTCACTTTCGTTATAGAAAAAGGGTATATGCGAGTTATTTGTATAATAATGAGTATTTATATGAACCACGAAAGATAAATTAACTTTAAATGACAAAATTGAGTGATATATCATTATTTTTTTCTCATTTTTTTTAATTTGTATAAATGCGACAAGTTAAATTGGCAAATGAATTGGAACGGAGGGAGTAAATCGAAAAAATATCGTTAATGATGATGTGTCAGCGTCATCATGAGATCGCCGCTCCTCTCTTTTGGTTTTTACTTTTTCTAAATTTTTTTTTCAAAAATAACACAAAAGCTTCTTATCTTTCAACAAAAATATTGTAATTTCCCATACCATTTCTTTTTAATATATAATGTTTTTTCTGTTTGTCCCGCTATATTATACTCCCTTGTAATTAGGGAGAGAGGAGTATATTTTATATATATACTACTGTAGTCTTCTGTACTGATAAAAGCTTATGTTTTCTATTCAATGGTGGATTTATTTATTCTTATACACTCTTCAGCCACAAGCAAGAACCTTCACTGGTAAGTTCTTCTTTTTCATGACTTTTCAGTTGTCTACTCTTAGATCTCAATGCATATTTAATGGAATTGTGTTTGACATTTCATTGCATTCATAAAATTTGGAATTTGTCTGACTTTTCTCTAATCTGATCAGGTGATTGTGATATGTATCCAACTTGCCATAGTTCATCTATGGATTTTACGAAATTTGGTTGGAAATTAGGTTTAAGGTTACTTCTTAATAAATTGAATTGCCTGATTTTGGTGGGGAAATATGGTGTGTTCTGTGTTTAGGTGGGTTTTGATTAGGATAATTTCATGCTGGTGTGATGTGTTAGGAGTTTTAGGTTGGGGGTAGTGGGGTTTGAAGATGACACATGTTTTGCAACAGAAGCCTGATAGCACAGGGGATGATGCCCACTCTGAATTTGAGAGGGGATGGGAGGAGTTAATGTGCGGGGACTTGGACGAGTGTATGTCATTTGCTTCATCTAGTTCAGCACGAAACACTGAAGATGAGGACGATGACAGCGATGGTCTTGTGAGAAGAAGAAGAAGGAGGACTACTTCCCTAATTGAAGGCGATGATAATCTGGCTGAGTCTTCTGCTGCTAGGCGGAGGCGTTCACAGATTTTGAGTAGGTGGGCTGCTAGACAGGCAGAACATATGATTACTACTATCGAGAGGAAGAATCGTGAGTCCGAGTTGATGGCACTTGCCGGTTTGCACACTGTGTCGACACTTGATTCTTCATTCTTGAGAGAATCACAATCTCCTACTTCAAGGCGTGATGCCGAGAGGACAAGCAGTAGGTCCTCGACTATCTTGCAAATGTGGAGGGAGTTGGAGGATGAGCATATATTGAATCATCCCCGAGAGAGGGTAAGGGAAAGACTGACTCACCAGAGGACTGTGGACTCTAACACCAATATTTCTAGTACTAGTATTTCAGAAAGCCGGGAGACTGAGAACCATGATACTTTGGTGGATGCTAATGAGAGTGAGAATGAGTATGGTACTTGGTCTCATGATGTGATTGGACCACAGATTGAGAACAGCGAGAATGGAAACTCCAGCCGTGAACAGTCTCCTGATCTAGGGGAGGTTGAGAGGGAGAGGGTGAGACAAATTGTTCGTGGATGGATGGAGAGTGGGATCAGTGACCATTCACCTAATGTCTCTCAGAGGAATGGTGTCCCAAGAAGTGAATGGCTGGGGGAGACAGAGCGTGAAAGGGTGAGAATTGTGAGGGAATGGGTCCAAATGACTAGTCAACAAAGAGGAGCTCGTGGTGGCAGAAGGGAAGAACAGTCCAATGGGCTTAGTGCTCAAGCTGATCGTATTCGTGATGAGTCTGTTGTTGAGCATGAGGAAGGCCAGCCAGAGCATGTACATAGAGACATGCTGAGGTTGCGTGGGAGGCAGGCTTTACTGGATTTGCTTGTGAGAATTGAAGGGGAAAGACAGAGGGAACTTCAAGGTCTCTTAGAGCATCGTGCGGTTTCTGATTTTGCCCACCGCAGTAGGATTCAGGTTAGTTGTTATTCTTCATCCAGTTTCCCTGTCCTATTTTTCTTATAGGAGCCTCAATAGAAGTCATGATTCAATTGTCACGTGGGCTTATGTTTATATCATTTGCTAAATTGTGAAGTTTGACATTTTGAAGCTGAAAATTGAATTAACAGGAGATGTTTACTATCTTGAACTGTGCTTGTTTTTACTTTGTTCCTCGGAGAGGTAGATGTAACTGGCCTTTTTGAGTTGTTATTGGAGGTGTCTTTGAGCTGTTAGCTAATCTCTTCTAGAGTTGTTTCTTTCTTGCTTAGGCATCTTATTTTATACCCTCTTACAGTCACTACTCAGAGGAAGGTTCTTGCGAAATGAAGGGCCTGCTGAGGAAGAGAGACCACCTTCAATGGCAGCAAGCGAACTAATTCATCTTAGGCAACGCCACACTGTCTCTGGGCTCAGGTATATGGCCTGGTCAATTGTGTTTTGCAGCAGGATTTGTCTCAATAATTGACTTTTAATCACCTGTTGAAGCTTGCCTTATGTAATAAGTTATTAAATGTTTATTTCCATGTGGTCTACCCTTTCAGTTTTGTTGTAGAGCAGTAATACCTAGTCCAATTTCTTTCTGCAGCTGTCAGAATAATTCACTTTTTTATAATGGTTGTTTGTAGAGGAGTTATGGATACTACCCAGTGTGATCATAGCATGGTACCTTGTTGTTGAGGTTCCAGCATTATCCAACTAGGTTCCTTTGTCCAGTTTGTTGAGGCCCACGCCCAAGATCAATTATTCCTAGAGTCCAACTTTGATTGCAGTGCTACTTTATTCTTAACTGCTGATTATCTTGCTAATCAGCAATACTAAAATGATTCAGTTACAGTTGCCAAAAATATCTGGGAAAGTGGGAATGTACCCAGCAGATTCTTTAGTAGCAAATGCATTGTTTCCGGGGTTGGGGTGAGGAAAATGGGTAGCATGCATTAGTTATGGATAGAAAGTAGAGTACTTGCTTTAACCTTAATTTTGTACAAGTTAAATGTGACTTATCTTCTACCAGCAAATCAAGATTGCACCTAATTTAGTTTTGGAGGGGGTAGAACTTATGTATTAAAGGGAAAAAGAGGAATTGCTAGACATATGCTTCTTTTATCTAAGGTGGAGTATTTGGGAAATGAATGGTGATCTTACTATTCTCATCTCAACTCAAGTTGGCGTTATTTGGCTCTTTTAAATTTTATTGCCTGACCAATGTCATTGAAGTATTGCGTTTATGATCACTTAGAACTCAAAGATATATTAGTACCAGTCTATAGATGTTCAAGTAAGGTTGTTATGTGTGTCTAAGGATTAGTTTGGTTGTTTCCCCTAAAAAGCTGCAGGTGAAATGGTCGCCCTTCACCTTTCAGTTCTTTTCTCCTTTTCTTTTTGCGGTGTATTTTCTCAAATTCTCTTTCTCTTCTGTCTATAATTGACTGTAAAAGTAGCGATTAACCCCTGCAGCTCAGAAATGCTTAGGGAGGGCGCTTCGCCTCAGTTAAGCTGCACTTCAGTGTAGGTAATGCACTAAGGTGTGTGTCTCATTGCCCATGAGTTCTATCTTGAAAAAAGCACTAAAGCAGCACTAAACAATAAATATAATCAGAAAAAGAGATATATTAATCATTAAGGACGACATTTTAAATGAATTTGTTACTTCTTTCTTGCATTACATTTATATTCATAACTTTTTTCTTCATTGCACCTTTTTTTACTAAAGCCTACATGTTAATTGCGCTTTGCACTTAAAGCCCTAATAAACCTGGAGCGCTTTTTTAAGCTTTTCACCTTTGACAAGACTGTTCTATTGCATTACTGTATAAATCAATCAAGATCATGGTGGTCTTTCACCCATTTGGATCTCAGGCGAATTGATATGAAATTACAGCATGTTAACTGTGGCTAAGAGTGAGTTGAGGTAATTGAATGAGGAACTTATGTGAAAAGAAAATGAACGAGAGGATTAAGTAGCTTCTACCATACCACCTTTAGCTTGATGTTAATGTTAAATAGATCTTAGTTTGCATGTCACAATGTATTTTGTTCTTTCTTATGTGATGCTTGCAACATTGTTTAGTAATCATTTGATTGCACATATCTTAGAAAAGGCTCGCTTAGTGGGTAACTCTCCTTTTTGGAATTTCTAGAAGCACTTGGCAAAGAACCCACATTTTCCATTTTCTGTTTCATTATGAAGCCTCAATCTGTGGAAAGATTTTCTGCTTTGTGTTTTGTGCTTCATGATATCTCTTGCATGAGATGGGCTACCTAAGTGATTTGCACTTCCTTTCATACTTTGGTCTGGTTCTCACTTTTTGTACTCTTCCTTGTGAAAGAGAAAATCTGCATTTATAGCAAAATGATTATTTTATCATGTTGATGCATGGGTTCGTGACCCTTTTATTTCAACCAGGCAAGGATTTCGCTCCAGATTAGAAAACATTGTACGTGGTCAAGTGAGCAGCCATTCTGAATCTTCATCTAACAGTGGCAACGGTGGTTTGAGAAGTAACCAGACTCATGCAAATCCTTTACAGGAGGTACAAAATGAAAATCTTGAGCAGCTGCAGTCTAGGGAGCAGGAGCATATTACTCATCAGTTACCTGATCACAGAGAGAGTTTTGATTCCAGTACAACTAGTCAGGCTACAAACTGGCTAGTGTCTCCTAACCAAGGAAGGGGTCAAGTGGAACCCATTGTTGAAGCTGATGGAGCAAATCAGCGGGATGCAACTTCTAATGAACAGAGTAATGGAACTATGGAGAATACAAGTGGGAACTGGCCACAAAATCAACCAATTGTTTGGCCCCCTGAAACAACAGGTGACATGAATAGAGATGAGCATCGTTTACCAGAAAATATTGAGGTTTGGCATGAGGATGGGTCACGAGAAGCTGTGGAGAATCGGTCAGAAGGGCCTTCTGATCCTCCTAGAATGCGGCGTCCTGTCCCATATAGAAGAATTAGTAGATTCCATCCGCCCGATGATGATAATGTGTATAGTATGGAACTCAGGGAGCTTCTTAGCAGGTAAAATTCACGTGTCATTCTGTTTTTCCATCTATGGGTCTGAGGTATTCTTGTCATTTATCTGTTGAGATTCTTTGTCTGGTAGGAGGAGTGTTTCCAATCTTCTTCACAGTGACTTCCGTGAAAGTTTAGATCATTTAATTCAGTCATATGTAGAAAGGCAAGGCAGTGCTCCAATTGACTGGGATTTGCACAGGAACTTGCCTATTCCAACTTCAACTGAAAGGGGTCCGGACAACCAGAATGTTGCCCAACCGGAAGGAATTAGCAGGCCTTCACATGTGCAACCATCTCCTCCTGTACCTCCTCCACAACCACTTTGGCATCAGGATTTGCACCAATCCAGTTGGCCACATCACACTGTGCATCGTTCTGAACTTGTAAGCTTACCACCCCTTCCTAGAAGCTATTGTTAAATGGCCTGATTATTTTTCCATCTGATAGTGATACCTTGTGACTAATGCATCTACTTAATGAAGAACACTTCTCTAATAAACCAATGATGGAAATATCCAAAAAATTTGTTGCCTTTATATAGGGGCATCCCTTACAGGAATGAGATGATTGTGAATCTTTTCTATTTTCTTCCCTCTTCTAAGCTTTCACGGACTCACAACTAAGAATATTGCACTCTTTCCATGCTGCTAAGAAAAACATCTAACTTGGTACATATTTGTCTTCAATTTGAGCAGCATAATATTCTGTTCATACCAGTATCTATAGTAGATTCACGTCCATGGTGTTTATATATTCTGTTAATGATGTCAGTATGATTATGCTGCTTTATCGTGAATTGAGGGGTCATTTGGTTTAGAAGCAAGTCATGCAGGGATTAGGACTGTAATACACAGATTAGTAACGCAGGGATTAAAAATGTAAGGATTGTAATGTAGGGATTATTTGTTATTTGGTGCTTGATATGTTGTACTAAAAAATATTAAACGTATGTTTGAAATATGTGCTAATTTTTTCCAACAAAATATAATATGGTATTTTTTTCATTTAATAACTTTTTAATCCATGTACTGCTTATCCCCGCATAGAATAATACTTAGATTCTACATAACTTATGTGGGTTTTAGTTACATGGATGAAACCTAATATTGTGTAAACAATGAACAATTTTATGTGGAGATTAGCTTCTCCATTTCTCCAACCAAAGCATTACCTGAGTACTTTCTATTCTGAGCAGGAGTGGGAGATGATGAATGATCTTAGAACGGACATGGCAAAACTGCAGCAAGGTGTGAATCACATGCAAAAGATGTTGGAGGCCTGCATGGATATGCAACTGGAGTTGCAACGTTCAGTCAGACAGGAAGTTTCAGCTGCTTTGAATAGATCTGCTGATGGACAAGGTCTGTCTCTCATATTTGACATACAATAAAACATTGAAGCTCTGATGGTTGCCGTACCTCCTCTAATCCATCTATCTGTTTCTCTTCAACATCATTTGATTTCTTCTTAATTGAGTTTGGCCCTGCAAATTTCTCACAGGAGTTGCTGAGACTTCAGCCGATGGATCTAAATGGGGCCACGTGAAAAAGGGTACTTGCTGTGTTTGTTGTGATATTCACATTGATGCCTTGTTGTACAGGTAAAGTTTTTGTTATGCAGTTTCATATACCTTGCAGCAACTACTTCAAAATGTACAAGGAATGCGTCCTATCAACAAATAATGTAACAATGTTCTGTTCAAGATCTTTTGATAGTTAATGCTTTCTTTGTATTTCGGCAGATGTGGGCACATGTGCACTTGCTACAAATGCGCAAATGAATTGGTTCGAGGTGGAGGGAAGTGTCCATTGTGCAGGGCACCAATTGTTGAGGTGATCCGAGCTTACTCAATATTGTAAATAGAAAGGACAGGAAGTTCAAGAAAATCTAAGTTAAAAGTTGGTAAGGTATGGAGATGCTCCCTCTACCGAGCTTCTTAGATTCTTACCTGTAGAGTGTTTATTTGCCTCCATTCTTCTGATTATGTGGTATGCTACGCTCTGTATAATTGGAAAGCAACTGCCACGATGCACTTCTGTTGCATCATCCACTTGTAAATGAAAGGTTAATTTTTTTCCTTCTTTTTGTTAAGCAAGAAGCACCCATTTCTTTAGTTCTTTTGTTTGACTTGTTTTGTTCTCTTTTATTCTAGTTATCATTTGCGTCGTTATAACTACGTGAAGATAAAGTATTGGTTTGTGGCAGAAAGGATGAAATGACCACATTATCAAACATAGAGTGTAGTGTTCACTATACTGCTGCTCTTTGCAGGGGAAAAAAAGAAGAAGAAAATGACTTTGGGGGAGGTTCATGATGACTATTCACAAGTTTGATATATCATCTCTAAAATTTGGATTTGCAGTTATATTTTAAATACTAGGCATATCTACCATCTAGTTTTGTCCAGTAACTTATTGTCCAAATGATATCAACTTGTTTTGAAATGTTGAAGCAGGGCGTTTCACATATGAATAGATTCAACGTTTGTCTGCCCAATCGACACTAGTCCGGCTTTATCATACATGAAATCATCATAAATTTTGAGTAAAGTATCATATTGGTGAATTTTACAAGGCAAAATAATTGAAAGTATCATATCGTTTTTGAGGATGTATAAGTGAATAATGTGAAGTGTTTGATTGATTGGCTTGTCATGGATGGAGTGATAGGTGGTCATCATCACGAATAATAATACTATAAATATTTGATTCAAATACCTAGAATTGATGAGTGAAGTTCACGTTTACTAGTCAAAGGAATAAAGAAAAATTAAGTGGTGTTTAAGGGAATGATTGTTGTTTAGTGCCTGCCACCTTCACTGAAATACCTAAAAATAATGATTCCACAATGACCCCTCGAAAAAGGTGTGCAACGCAATGGCGTTTGGTTGCTGATCTTCTTCAACTATGTTTTTTCTTCTAGTACTCTACTTTTTAATTGTATTAATGTTTCCTGCTTTTTTTAATTACTCGAAAATCTAGTCAACTAAGGAAAAGGTTTCAGAAGGCTGAGTTTAGTAAGGAGGAAAATATTTTCTATTTTTTTTTTCATATTTGGTTGATCAAAATAATTTCTCAACAAAAAATAAGTTTCTTAAAAATAAAGAAAATGACCTTCCTAATGAAAATATGAAAAATAAGTTGTATAAGTGATATTTCAAATTTATTATTTCCTCCCTAAATGTCCCCACCCTTTGATTCTCCCACCTCTCGCACCCACGAATCTCCACTATCCATTCCATTTCGCTTTCATAGTGTTTTGCTAGAAAATATATAAATGCTTATGAAATAATATTTTCTTGCTTAATTATCAAACAATAAAAAACAAGTAAGAAACCCACTTATCTTCCAAAATAATCTTTCTAGAAAATTATTTGCGGTGGAGAACATTTTCCGCCATACTCCCTCTATTCCATATTAACTAAATTTTTGGGACTTTTTTATTGTTCAAAATAATTAAATTGTTCAAGGTTCAAGATGAATGTTTGAAATATTTCCTATATTTGCCCTTTCTTTTAGAGTCTGTTTGGAAAGTCACATGGTAATTAGAATTGACGTAATTACTAGGGTAGTAATTACCAGCCTAGTAATTACATAGCATGGTAATTATGCTGACCTGTTTGTTTACCACAATGCAATTACATTGTAATTATACATGTACTGTTTGGTTGCACAAATATAATCATAAAGTTATATTAAATTTTAAAAATAAAAGTTAATTATTTAAAATTTATATTAGACGAATAAGAAACTTTATAAATGATATTAAATTAAATACTTAAGATACATATTATTTTTGAAAATATTAATTAATAATCTATGTTCTTAACTAATATTATGAGAAAATAATTACTTTATATTTCTCAAATTAGCATATTCAATTGAATTAATCATAAAAACTTAAAGTACAAGATTTCTATGAACATCATGAAATGCATGTTTGACAAAAAGATTAATATTCTAAGTAAAATGTCATAAATTATTAAAATAATTGGCAAAAAGATAATCTATCAAGTCTAACTAAAAAACAACTGACTTGTGAAGTGAAGTCTCAAGTCAATACTACTAAAACAAATGAAACTGAAAATATAACATAAGTTCTAAATTCAATACAAATTAGTCTTATGTCAAATTTCAACTTAACATACATAAATATGATTTAAGAGAAAAGGAAAACGTAAGTCTATTACCTTACTCAACAATAAATTTTACTTTAATTTAAAAATTAGAATACTATCAAAATTATGTCAGTAAAGAAAATGCATAGCATAAAAAAAGATAATACGAAAAATTGCATGGAATCACATGAAGTAAAGGTTGAGAATGAGAAGAAAATGAAATATAAAAAAATAAAAAAAAATAAACTTTTAGAAAATTTTAGAATAATAACAATAAAAAATACTCCCTCCGTCCCATTTTATGTGTCACCATTTCCTTTTTGGTCAGTCCCAAAAAGAATGTCACATTTCCTTATATGGTAAGTATTTAAAGGTACAATTCTTCTTTTACCCTTGTTGGTCTCACTTAATCTTAAAGATAATACTCCAATACATTTATGAGGAGAGAGAAAAGTGAGTCTACTTTTTAAAGGGTAATTTGGTAAACATTTCAAAGTCTTCATTTATTTCTTAAACTTCATGCCCGGTCAAATGTTGCCACATAAAATGGGACGGAGGGAGTAATTTAAAATAATAGAAATAAAAAATAAATTAAAACAAAAAAATAAAAATAGAAATAAAAAGAAGAAATAAAAGAGTAATCAGCTTGTAATTATACCATGTAATTACTAGCAATTCATAGTCCCTCCCTGGAAATTGGAGAGTATAATTATCCCCTATCAATTACACCCAATTACCTGCTGAATGCTGACCAAGTAATTACCCAGCCAACCAAACAGGCTAGACAATGTAACTACACCCAATTTACATCAAATCCAATTACCAGGGTGGCTTTCCAAACAAACCCTTAATGAAGTTTGATATTTTCTAGGAGATAAATTGTACTACTTGCAAAGTTAATACTCCCTCAGTTCCTATTTAATTGTCATCATTTTAGGTTTCACGCCCTTTAAGAAACTAGACAAGTTTACTATTGTACCCCTCATTTTTTGACATTGTACCCTTATTTAGTATTATCTTGAAAGCTTTTAATCAATGAACATGAATTAATTACTTAGTTTTTCTATCTTGGTCAAAATTGTCACGACCCAAAAATGGACGTGATGACACTCGTCTTATCCCACCAAGACAACTTAGCCTAATACCCAACTAATACGATAAAGTGCGGAAATAAGCTATAATTGAAAGTTTAATAACAAGTAATAATACAGATACCAAGTCAACTTAACTAAATCCCCAAAACCTGGTTGTCACGTGCACAAGCCTCTAATGTATTACAATGATTTGAAAGAAAAACACAAGTCTCAAATGATGTTGTCACTAAAGTAAAACAAGATCATAAATAAGAGTAATAAGGTCCGCTGAGATGACAAATAACTACCTCACAAATCTCCATAGAAAGCCTCAGAAAAGAAGAGAATAGAAAGTGTTACGAAGATCCAGGCTCATAACCTACAAAAATGTAGAAGCAATGGGTGAGTACCAAACCACACAGTACTCAACAAGTAAACTTCTAAACACAAGCTAAGGGAATAGAATACAAGTACTCCTTACACCCAAACCGAACCTCCATAACTAAAACCAGCATAAAAACCTGTAACATCTCGCAATTTGAAATAGCTAGGAAGAAGCTAAGAATTGGAAATAGTCATTTTTGGAAAGAATTGAAAATCTGGAAATTTGTTTAGGCTAGGAAAATTGAGTGTTTGGTCAACTTCAAACAGCCATAACTTCTAGCTCAAGATGAGTTAAATGTACTTCCAGAGATGGTTGGAAAGCACTTGGAATGATCTTTCCAATGCCGCCGAGTTTACGCAACCGAGTTTGTGCGATTTCGAGTTCTTATGAGTAAGTAATGCCCTTTGGAAGTTGGGCCGTTGGATTAGGGAAAGTCCAAATCCAAATTTTTGAAGGGTAGTTTGGTCTTTTCCTTACCCTTTTATTTTAATTCGTTTTTGGTAATTACTTAGGGGTTTAAACTGAACTTAGTCAATTTACTCTTTTGGAAAAAAAAGTTAAGGTTTTGAGAGAAGAGAAAAGAAGAGGAGAAAGGAGAAGAACGTTCAAGATTCGTCAAGATCGTCGAGTTTTGCTTGTGGATTTCGTCGGGGGTGATCCCTACAAGGTATGTGAGATCACATAGCGTTGGGTTAATTAGCCCACGCGCCAATCATATTTTATTTCAGCGAATTTAAGTTCTTGAAAGCTTAGAAATTGACCTCTTGAATGGGTTTGTTGAAGTTTCATTAGATTCTTGTTTCGTTGAATTCATTGAGGAGTTGTTTGATCATAATCTATGATTTTAGGTTTGATTTTGAGTAGAATCTGATGTACTTTGAACATTTAATCGATTATAAGTGTTGGGTAAAAGAACCAACGGAGTTTAGAGCCGAAAAACGAAGAAGAGATTTCGTCGGACGAAATCCGACATCAGTGGCACATCGCGGAGCTGGTTCCCAGTTTTGGGAATTTTCGTTTCACGTCGCGGAGCCGTCACAATCTTCTGCCTCATAAGTCATTTTCGAAACTAAAAATTAAATATGTCTCCGCGTCGTGGACCCACCCTCAGATATTGATTTTTGGTCCTTTTCCCATGTTTAGCTATCTAAATTCATTCCTAAACATTATGAGATCTTTCCCATCACAAATCACGATCCTTGAATCCATAATTTGATTTAAGGATCATTTAGGAGTCAAGTCAAGAGAAGTCAAGAAGGCAAGAGTTAAGTTAAGATAAGTTCATAAAGTTTCTTTTTTTAAAAGTCTTTTACAAACGTTTTAACTTTGTTTTA